TATAATCTATACAATTTTTACTATTTCTTTCTTTCTCTCTCTCTCTTTCCATCAATTGCATTTCTCATCCTTCCGAGATTGAGACATATTACTCATCGTGAGATTATGAAATCATAGAAACAGCACAAACGAATACGAGACGTCATTTGTATTCAACATATATATGTAATATGATTCATGCATATATATATATTTATTTATCTCATAGAATAATTTTATTCTAGTTTATTTTCAGTTATTCTTTGTAGATAAACTAAGAAATTAATTTATATATTTATGGGTGGAATTAATAGTTGTTTGCCATCATCAAAAGATACATCAAATCGTCCTCGTCGTCGTTATGTCTTATCGAAAAGACGAAATGATCAACCAAGTTCCAATATTCCAATAAATACAAATAATAATATTAATAATAATAATAACAATACAATAAATTTAAATCAAGTATCTGAAGATGAATTATTACTATTACCTGGTATTAATCGTCAATTAGCTCAAAATATTGTTCAATATCGTCAATTAAATGATGGTTTTAAAAGAGTCAATGAACTTTTATATGTAAATGGAATAAATCATGATTTGTTTGAACGTATTCGATATGATTTATCAATTGATTCATTATCTCCACAAATTAAACAAGAACCCATTAATATTAATTCAGCATCACATAATGAATTATATTCAATACCTGATTTAACACCAATACTTATACAACGAATAATACAACGACGTGAACGAAAAGGACCATTTCGTTTTATTGAAGATTTACTTAAAGTTAAAGGAATTGATTATGTTATTCTAGCTAGTATACGTCCATATATTACTGTTGATTATCGACAAATGCCATCATCAGTTAGTCAATCATCTATTCTTGATCCATCAAATAATAATCTTTATCCAACATTAAATAAACCTAATCATAATACAACATCTGATTCACTGTCTCTTGCGTCATTATTATTAGAAACTTTACCACCTGAATTACAAACAATACTTTTATCAATGACACCTCAACGTCCATTATCGATTTGTAAAGATAACCAGACATATTTTCGTTTTGCTTCATGGAATTTACAACAATTAACAAATGAAAAAGTACAAAATCCAGGTGTAAGAGAAGTTATTTGTCGAATTATTCTTGAAAATAAGTATGAAATCAGAAAAATTCTTTTTTTGTTTTTATAATAACTAATATTATTTAGTTTTTCATTGATTGGTATTCAAGAAATAGGAAATAAAGAAGCAATTGGATATATTGTTGAAGAATTAAATAATCCAACAATACCTCTAATTAAAGATTGGCCTAATCGTCAAAATGGAAAATGGAATTATACAGTTAGTGATGCTGCTGGTCGAATGTTTCAAGTAAGATTTTCTTAAAACTTGTTTTGAAGATACTCATACTAGAATAAGTTCTTTTCCTATTTCATAACAATCACTATTAACTACGGGGACTTTCGGTATTCTTTATTTACATTTTATTATCAACGGTAACTCATATTGCAAAATGTAAATAATCGAAAGTCAAAGGATTAAAAGACACAACATCCGATAGAGCTTGATATTATCTATCTGCTACAGCTACTTCGTAATTCTCTAACTTCTGTTTTTTTCTAAAAAAATCCAAGTTTTTATAAGGAGTGCTTGGACGTATATATGCATCGTCACGAGACCATAGCTGGGCTAGTACGGACTTTCTCGAGTACGAGTACCAGCAAAATCGTACTCGAACACCAACACGAGTACTATTATCTCGAGAGTGACCAAGAGTTTTTGCCATAGTTGGTAGGGGGAAAAATCTATATTTAAACATTCGAAACAAAAAGACGTCAAGAATTCGTGTCATCCATGCAGCACATGATCACATAGTAATTTTTCATGCGACATAATCAAGAACTCCGAGATCATATCCTCGACGAGTACTTCGAGTACTTTGCCCAGCTCTGCCACGAGACAAAGAGTTTGGATAAGATATAATTATCAATGAATTTTAGGATTCTTAGATTTTAATTTGAAGAATATTATATTAATAATTTGTTTTAAAAAGGGAAATGAATATTTTGGTTTTATATATGATGAATCAATTGGTATTGAATTAAAACGAGCTTCATTATTACCATTTAAAAATTATTTTACACGTTCACCATATATTGTCATATTTCGTATATATAATAAATATGAATTTGTTTTTGTTAATATACATTTAAAAGCACGAAGATTAGATGAAAATGAAAATGAAAGAACAAAAGATGAAGCTTTATCATTATCAATATTAGCTGAAGCTATGAATGATACTGTTGGTAAGTTTTGAGATATTAAAATAAAAATTTATTCTTTTTCTTCTATTATAAAGAACAACAACATATTGTTATTTTTGGTGATTTTAATATGATTCCATCAGCATCAGAATTTGATGCATTAATTCAACGAAATTATTCATATATTATTCAACAAAATACAAATATTAGTATGAAAACACCACAAGGATCAACATGTGTGGATAATATTTGGCTTTCTCCTGAAGCTAAAGCTTTGAGTACTGGTAAAGTTTGATTTTTTTGTTATTGAATTAATCGAATTATTTCTTAAATATTTAGATAAATCAGGCGTTATTCGAGATAATCTTACGAGTATGTGGATACCTGCTGGTTGGACATGGGGTGGTTTAGTGAGTGATCATTGTCCGATTTGGATTGAATTTGATTTATCATAAGATATATTTTGTTTATGTGCAATAGAATTCTTAAATGTTTGTTATTTGGCTTTGCTTAATTTTGTCTAATTTGTAAAGAAATATTTTTTTTGTTTTATACATATATAAATAATAATAGTTTTTATTGAATAAAAAAATATACCAGAGAAATTTATAAAAAATAAACTGTATAACTTTAGATTTCTATGAATAATGTCTAATCAGATACCTGTAAGTAATTATATTCTATGATTTAATTATTAAATATTAGTGATTAAAATAGGTTCTTTATACAGAACAAAAAACAAAGAAAGTTAAAATATGGTTAGATGGATTTTTAGTTCCACGTTCAACATTAAATTCGGTATGAATAAATAATATTTTCGAATATATTTTATAATGAAAAAAAGAGGTTTTAGGCGCGTTTAATATCTGCTGGTAAACATGAAATAGATGTTGTGTTTTATTCCAGTATTGATGATGTAAGTAATATGTATATATATCATTGTAATCAAATCGATTTTATATTTATATATAAGATAAAACCTGGAAGAGAATTTGAAACTGATCGATATTTAATTAGTGTCGAAGAAAATAATGATGATAATCAACCTTGTCCTAGACCAAGTTTTGCTGTTAATGATCCAACTATGAAAAATAAACCGAAATCAGCAGTATGTATACAAATTATTTTGAAAGCAAAAATACTAGAATTTTTAATTTAGGCATTTGTACCACCACGTTTAGTACCTAAAGCTGAACCACCACCACCACCGCCCATATCAATATCAGCATTAGAACGACATAATCCACATCAATGGGGTTATGCTGGAATGACTACAGCTATGAAACGTAATGCTTATGATGATGATGAGAATGAAAATAATTCAAATCATATTTCAAAAATAACAAAATCTTCTCATTTTATTCCTCCAACATTTCATAAACGTGAAGAAATTCAACCGCAGTTAACAGTATCACCTCCTCCACAACAACAGCCAGGTTTACTAAATGATACTCTTATTTCTCGATTATTAAACAAACCCGAACCTCAAGAAATGTAAGTGTATCTAATTGAAATTTTATTAAATATATTTTTATTTTTCATTCAGTAAATCTTCACCTGTAAAACAAATTCCAACAATTTCTTGGTCAACATGGGATGATAAAAAATCTGATGATGAAGAAGAAACAGATACGAAGTCAATTACTCATGAAAAACCTAATCTTCAACAATTACCTTCAACAAAACAAACATATAATTGGCATAGTTTAGTTACATCAGCATGTGCAAATCCTCAACCTAACGATTCAGAAATCTTACCAAAATTTGATTTTGATGAAAGTTCTTTCGATACATTATTTGATAATTCCAATGAATAGTTATTAAATTACCAAACAAAAAAGAAACATGTCAGATATTTTTTTACATAAACAATTTTATTTTTGCCACAAATAAAAAGACAAAACAAAAAGCGTTTTCTTTTTTAAAATATATATATCACGGTTATATAAAATATTTTAACGACGGAATTGTACTAAATAACGAATAGCAACTTGTGATTCATCATAAACAATATATTCATTATGATTAAGACCACCATAATAATTTCCACCATAATTTTTGTTATCGATTAATTGACCAAGTGGAATTTGTACACCTGAAAAATAAATGATCTATGAAATAATTACAATAAGAAGAAAAAAACATACCATCATTTCGAACAATTGTATGTTTTGGATCGGGTATAGATCGACCAACACCTTTTCGACTTTGATATTTTTTCAAATCAAGTACAGCATCATCATCTTTAGCTTCGTCATCATCTTCTTCCTCATCATCATCATCATTGGTTTGTACACGACTTGCGCCGACTTCTTTAATATTACCTAAAGCAACTTCACATAAAAGCATAAAACATCGTTCATTATCATTTTGTTTAACACCGGAACAATAACCAAGACTTTTCTTAAATACATCGGCAGTATAAATTCCCTAAATATAAAAATTCAACTACTATTTATTTAAGATTTCTTTCTTTACTTTTCCAAATAAACTTCCAGTTGCATTTGCTACTAATGATCCAACAAGAAGACCTCGAGTAAGTATACTAATTAAATTACAAATACTCGTTCCATGCCATAATAAATAATGATTATTTAAATTACGTTTTCTTAATCGTTCATCTTCATTTGGTCGAGCAATTTTAAATATTTGTTCAATATCTATAGTAGGTTCACTAGCCCATATATAACGTAAAATAAATTGCGAATCAATATCATCTCGATTCATAGCTTCAAATTGACAATTAATTGATTTATATAAATAATCTAATGGTGAAATATTTTTTAAATTCGCTTGTGCACCTAATAACATTTTATAGGATAATTCAAGTTCAAATAAATCATCCAGTACTTTTTCTTGTGCTTTTAATGCATCTATATTATCAATAATAGGTAATTTTTCCTCGGAATAACCATTTAATGGTATTAATGTATAATATTCATTTGTATATTGATAAATTGATTGTTTAATTAAATATAATTCATTTTTCTGATCTGGCGTTTTTGTTTGAGAATTATTTTCATTTTGTTTTTCTAAAACATCTTTTAATGATACTAATAAATCACGTGCTTTTTCTAATGTTTCACGTTTTAATTGTGATACAGGCATCCAATCGATATCTAAATGTGTTTTATGAATATTATGACGTATAGCTTGACGACTAATTAATGTTTGCATAAGATTTTTATAAATCGATGATTGAAGTTTTGAATTTGAATGCTGAGATTCCGCCGTTTGTAAACGATCGAAATCAATAGGTACATTTGAATGTTTATTTCGTTTACGTTTATTTAA